GCAGCGGCAATCGGGGCGGCCGCTCCGGTGGCTAAGGCGGCTACCAAGTATGTAACCGCGGCAACGATGGCCGCGGGAATCAAGGAGGCTATCAAGGCGCAAGGGCGGCAACGGCAGCAACAACAACGTCTCCGGCAACAACAGTAGTGGTGGCAACGGCGGCGGTGGAAATCAGGGCGGCTACAACAGGAGGAACTCCAACTCCAACCGCCCGCATGCGCCATGCCAAATCTGCAACAAACCCAGTCATAGTGCACGTACGTTCTACGACTGCTACAAACACAACTCTCAGCCGGAGGACGCCCGCTTTGCCAACAACATCTCCGTAGGCTCACCGGCGCTTGATCCGGCGTGGTACATGGACTCCGGTGCCACTGAGCACATCACTGCTGACCTGGGCAAGCTCCACATGAGTGAACAGTACATCGGCAAGGACCAAGTGCACGCTGCAAACGGGACATGTATGGCTATTACCCATGTTGGAAAAGCACTTCTTCCTACACCGCATGCATCCCTTGCCCTTAATGATGTTCTTTGCGTTTCACATACAACTAAAAATCTTCTGTCTACTCATCGACCCACCACTGATAATAATGTTTTTGTTGAAATTCATCCACTCTATTTTCTTATCAAGGACCGGGCTTCGAAGAAGGTTCTACTTCGCGGAACTAGCGAGGGGGGGGGTCGCTATCCTGTTCATTCCCATCAGTCCAGTAGGAATAAGACGACGCTTTCTGCCTCCACCAAGCCCAGTCATGATCGGTGGCACTTCCGTCTCGGCCACCCCTCTTCAAGGATCGTAGATCATGTCTTAGGCAATTTCAATCTGCAGTTTAGTCGTGAGTCGAATAAAGAACATGTGTGTGATGCATGTGAGCAAGTGAAGAGCCATCAACTTCCTTATGCTAGCTCCACAAGGGTTACTTCATTTCCCCTTGAACTTGTTTTCTATGACGTTTGGGGGCCTGCGTGCACCTCGTAAGGAGGTTTCAGTTATTATGTGAGTTTCATAGACGATATTAGCAAGTTTACTTGGCTGTTCTACCTCAAGCATAAATTGATGTTTTTAATATTTTCCATCGCTTTCAAGCTCATGTTGAACGCCTTCTCAATCGCAAAATCCTACATATACAAACAGATTGGGGAGGGGAATACCACAAGCTCAATGCTTTTCTTTCAAAAAATTGGTATTGAACACCATGTATCTTGCCCACACACCCACCAGCAAAATGGATCGGCGGAAAGAAAACACCGTCACGTCGTCGAAACCGGACTCACCTTACTAGCCCAAGCCTCTATGCCCTTTCGTTTCTGGGATGAAGCGTTCCACCCTGCATGCTTCCTCATTAATCGTCTTCCCATTCGTACAATCTGTATGACCACACCTCTCCAACGATTGTTCGGCACTGCTCCAGATTACACTTTTCTTCGAACCTTCGGGTGCGCCTGCTGGCCATGCCTTCGTCCATATAACAATCATAAAATCCAATTCCATTCAAAACGTTGTGTTTTTCTTGGATATAGTAGCATGCACAAAGGGTACAAATGTCTCCACGTGTCATCCGTCCGGGTCTATATCTCGCGAGATGTCATTTTCGACGAACAAATTTTTCCTTATGCCGATCCATCATAGTCAGACTCGCTACCTTCATCCTATGATGAACTCCGGCTGCTTGCATCTCCGGCTTCGTTCGATCCTACTGTTCCGAACAATGCGGTGGATGAGGAATCTTTTTCCATGGGTAATACTGCACCTGCTTCGTCTAACGCGCTGCAGAATGATCCGAGTTTGGTTACTGTTTTTCCTATGCAGGCACCTACAATGACGCCCACAAGCAATACGAGTCAAGTTGATCAGTCCATGCATGCACTGGTCATGCAAGAACCGAATACATGGTGCTCCGTCCAGCACGGCTTTGGCCATGCCTCTCCTGTGCGATCTGCTACCTCACCCAATGCCGTTTCTCGGTAGACCTCCGCTGAGCAGGCCACTGATGGGGTGCCTTCTCCCGGGCTCTCCCAACAGCCGACTCCACCGTCTGCACCACCGTCTGCAATGGCTGCTCCCGCCAGCGAGGACGCGCCTCCTCGCTATGCCACTCGCACCAGTGACGACACTCACCGTGAGAAGGTGCGCACGGATGGCACTATTCCGTATGTCACTCACCGATGCTGGTGGCACGCCTGGCTGGCCATGATTGAACCAGCTAATCACCTTGATGCTCTTGCTGATGAGAACGGGCGTGCTGCCATGGACTGCGAATATCAAGCTTTGCTCAAAAAACGCACCTGGCATCTTGTTCCTCGCCCAGCTCGTTGCAACCTCATTGACTGCAAGTGGGTCTTCAAACTGAAGTACCGAGCTGACGGGTCAGTTGATCGCCATAAGGCTCGTCTGGTCGCTAAAGGATTCAAGCAATGCCACAGTGTCGATTATGCGGAGACATTCAGTCCAGTCATTAAGCACACCACTATCAGGTTAATATTGTCCATTGCAGTCTCTCGCGGCTGGGTGCTTTGTCAGTTGGACGTGCAAAATGCGTTTCTCCATGACATTCTCGAAGAAGATGTTTACATGAAGCAACCTCCTGGGTATGTTGATCCACAGCTTCCGCAACATGTGTGCATGTTGGATAAACCCCTCTATGGTCAGAAGCAGTCCCCACGTGCTTGGTTTTCTCGGCTCAGTAGCAAGCTTCAGGAGCTTGGTTTTTGCCCCTCTCTCGCTGATACATCATTGTTCATTTATCAGCAAGGGGGAGTACCATGTATATGCTGATTTAGGTTGACGATATCATTATCACTGGGTCGTCACCTCGGGCTCTAGCTGCACTTGTTCAAAATCTTCAAGAAGCATTTGCACTGAAGGATCTAGGCGATCTCCATTATTTTTTGGGTATAGAAGTACAATGTCAGTGGGAGTCTATGCTGCTGAAACAGGCTAAGTACACATTAGATCTCTTGAGGAGAGCCGGCATGACAGATTGTAAGCCAGTCACCTCGCCTATGTCCACCTCTGAGACACTCACTCGGGAAGGAGGACCACTATTGTCGCCAGAAGGGGCCACGAGATACAGAAGCATTGTAGGGGCGCTCCAGTACTTAACTTTGACACGCCCAGACATCAGCTATGTTGTGAATAAAGTGTGCCAATGCCTTCACTCGCCACCAGAGGAGCACTGGATGGCCGCGAAACGCATCCTTGGGTACTTGAGATACACCGCAGACATAGGGCTGAAAATCACCAAATCTACATCCACCATGCTCAGCGCCTTTTCAGATGCTGACTGGGCCAGCTCGAATGATGACCGGCGCTCTATGAGCGGATTCGTAGTATTCTTTGGCCCTAACTTGGTGTCCTGGAGCACAAGGAAACAAGCGACGGTGTCTCGATCAAGTACCGAGGCCGAGTATAAGGCACTCGCAAATGCAACGGCAGAGTTGATCTGGCTTCAGACTCTTCTTGGCGAGCTCGGCGTACCGCAATGGCGTCCGTCGGTGTTGTGGTGTGATAACATAGGAGCGACATATTTGTCGGCCAATCCAGTATTTCATGCACGCACCAAACACATCGAGGTCGATTTTCACTTCGTCCGTGAAAGAGTAGCTCGCAAGGCGCTGGACATACGGTTTGTGTCGTCACACGATCAGCTAGCTGACGGACTAACCAAACCAGTTGGAGCTGCACCACTTCGGCTTCTACGATGCAACCTCAATCTCTCGGGAGCTGAGTTTGAGGGGGGTGTTAGCGGATAGAGCCGATGGCAGCTGGTAATTAGTTATGATCAATAGGTTGTTATTAGTTGGCGTTTATCTCCTGTAGATCCTGCACCCCGATTGTTATCTTCTGTTGTGAAACGAATCGGTGGTGGTTGTTAACAACCTGTATAAATACCAAAGCCATCGCCATCTGTTGATGTGCGATCCAATCTATCTCCTGTGTTTACAATAATGACAGTGAGAGAAGCACTAGCGCAGCCCCGAGAATATTTATGTTCATAGAATTCTCGTGGCCTCCGATTGCAATATTGTGGTGGACGGCATCAAACAAGGAAGTGCAACAAATAGGGTGATTATCAGATAAATTGTTGATGGATCAACTCTCTTTCCCTCATGTAACATCATTCATGAATATACGAGCTTGAATGTCGAGGCTAACAACATTGCAAAGCAGGCTTTAATTTTAGGGCTGGCCATAATGCTTGGTTTAGGACAGTGGGTGGTCTTCTTTTCATTCCTGTAAAAAGTATTAAACAGTATGATGATTTAATGAAGTTTCGTGGGTTTGTTTAAGAAAAAGTTAAGAAATGTTTAGAGCAAGTACAATAGGGTGACATAAGTAGGCTAGAGGACTAAAATATTATATTTTTGCTTTGTTGGAGAAAAGAGAAGAGGAGAGAGGAGAAAAGTGAGCTCTTCGTTAGTAGCCGGTTGCAACACGAGCCCTAATAAACTTTATGAAATTGCAAGATGGGCCAACTATTAATAAAATATGACACATTAAAAATTTACTATTGTACATGTCGGCTATTAAATTGGCTCTAGATGACATGGCAACTCTTTGTAATCGATTGTTGGCTATATTATTAACCATGCTCTTAGAAGCAGCCGACGTTTTTTTCCTAGCAATACTTGTTTTATTTAGCATCAAATGCAAAGTACAGCTAGCCTGAACTGTACTTGATTCGTTTACAACCCTCAGAAAAGATGGTGCCACGTCTCGTCATCTGTAACACAAATCTTATGCGGAGGGATCGTGGACCCGATCAGGCCATGACATTACCACATACTGCTCGAATCTGTGACCGTGTTCTCACAGAATGAGACACAACGGCGTACAGTTGACCGGTGCAGAACATTCAGATTTGCTGCAGCTTGAGTAGACTGACCTCATTGCACCATTTGATAACAAAAATTCTACGTGTTGGCATGCACAGATTAATTGCTGGTCGTAGTATACTTAGACGTGATTACACCCGTCCCTAAGCGTGCGTGCACGGTCACAGCGAGAGCGCGACGAGGATGGCCTGGCGGCACCGCGCGCGCGCCGTCTCGACGCGCTCCTTGACGGTCTCCTCCTTGACGGCGGCTTTGACCATCTCGACGTCCATCTCCACCAGCCGCAGCACGCGGAAGAGCTCCGTCGCCACGCGCTCGTCCACGCCGCCCTCGGCCATCAGGATCTCCGCCTCCTCCCGGGCGCGCTCCGTCACCACGCCCGCCACCGTGCCCAGCAGCGCGCCCGACCCGTACCGCCCGCGCTCCATCAGCCCCTCCAGCTTCTCCAGAAAATCGGCGATGGCCCACCCCTTGGGCTTCTCCAGGGGGAGATTCTTGGTGCGCTTCCACCCGATCTCGTAGTTGGGCGGCTCCTCCTGCGTCAGCGCCGTCCGGCGGAGGCGTCCGTCCGTCGAGATGGCCGACGGCACGCGCCGGACCACCGAGAAGGAGGTGGTCGCCGTCGCCGACGGCGGGGTCTCGTCGTCGGGGATGCGGTGGGGGTTGGCGTCGGCCTCGTCGGGAGTGGGTTCTTGCTCCTCGTCCTGGTTGCCCTCTTGCTGGGCGGGCTTTGGGGTGGAGGTGGTCGGTTTAGGCGCCGCGGTGCAGCGTACGGCAGTGATGGGGGCGATAGGGACTTGTGGTTTGGGAGTGGAGAGGAAAGGTTTGGGAGGGAGGAGAGGGCGGAGGAAGGAGGCGGCCATTGCGGATGAGGCGTGGTGGGAAATGGTGAAGCGAATGGCTGTGCAGTTTCTACGTGATAGATAGGTTTGGAGATAAGCTTACAAATGCGCTCTGTCGCCGCGCGAGAACAGAGAAGAGACATCAGACTCGAGCTGGATCGAATCGATATTTGTGGGAACAGGATTAAATCAGGAAAAAGGCTTCTAATCTACACTTCAAGTAGTGTGAATTTTGTGAATCTAATTGGATGGATTTTTTTTTTAGAAAATGTAGTTGGATGGATGGTCAGAGAGACTGTGGTATCCTCAGTAGTGGCTAATCTAGACAGAAACTGAAGGGTGGGTTCAAAGCCTGTATCATGCCAATATAGGTTGGGTTGGGCTTGTAAGTGGCTGAGTTGGGCCATGAAACTAGTAGTAAAAAAAATTCTTGCAGTGCTGGAGCGGGGCTCCTGATCCCCAGCCCATCAGGGTTTAAATCTTGATGCTCGCATTTATTCCTGGATTTATTTCAGGATTTTTCGTGATGCGCATTCAGTTAAAGGAAATATTCTCGTCAACGACGAAGCGTCTACGATGACTTCGTAAATATCTAGATGATATGCCGGCTCATCTAGAGACACAGTGAGCAACCCCCAGCTACACAGTGAGCCGGCCCATCTTAGCCAAGCGTACAGTAGGCCTTCAATCTGGTTTTGTGAACATTCTAAAAGATTCCGCCTGCTTTTGTTCGGTTTTCTTCATCTTTGTCTTTCTCTTTACTCTCTTTCAGGTTTTTTCTTCTGGTTTTCATCTATTTTTCTTTTTTTCAGATTCTTTTTCTTTTCTCCTTTAATTTCAAATTTTGAACTTTTAAAAATTCATGAATATTTTTCAAACTCATGAAGTTTTTCCAAATCCATGAACATTTTTAAAATTCGCCAACTTTTTTCAAATTCATGAACATTCTATCAAATTGTTGAAAATTTTCAACTTCCCAAAAGTTTTCAAATTTTGTAAACATTTGTTATATCCACAAACATTTTTCAGATTCATGAACTTTTTCAAATTTACAAAAAAAATCAATTTTTTGAAATTTTCCAAATTCATGATTTTTTCTGAATTCACAAACTTTTCCAAAATTTGTGAACGCTTTTTAAATTCATGATTTTTTTTCCAAATTTGCAATTTTTTCCAAATTCATGATTTTTTTCTTAAATCCACGAATTTCCTTTTTCAAATTTGTGAACTTTTTTTGGAATTCACACACTTTTTCCAAATCTGCAAACCATTTTTTCAAATCCATGAACACTTTTAAAGTATGTTTTTTTCAAGTCTATAAAAAAACGGGAAGCCTGTTTTCCCCCTCAAACCATCACTGGTTTTTTCTGAACTAACAACAAGCGAGCGAGCCAGCAGATCGGTCTAGCAATCAAGCAAGCCTGAGCCGATCTAGCGATCAAATGACTGTGACCTAGCAATCAAGAGAGCGAGCGATCAAGGGGTGCTTAATGGGCGCCCAACCGAGCGTTCGCATGAGCGCTCACACGCAAGACCAGTAATGTAGGCGTTGAGGAGGAGGTCTCTCTAATCTACCGACTAATCACAAGCCTTGTTCGGCCGTCATGTGCGGACGAGACTTGCCTGCTCCCCTCCCGTGTGCCCATCCGTACTCCCGCATACGTGGCTTAATTTGATTGGAACAAAATAAAGCCCGGCCCCACCCCCTTAAAATCAGGGGGGAGATGATTAGATTAGAAAGAAAAAAGGAAAAAATACAACTGTTGGATGAGGTGGGAGCACGGATGGGAGCATGGAAAGGGAGCAGACAAGCCGGATCCGTCATGTGTAGGTGATAGGTGCCCCATGGGCCCACACACTACTTTTCCTTTTGCGTTAGGGTGGTCACAATGGAAAGTAGTATCATACTCTACTATCATGCATATGATATTAGTGTATGATACTACCTCCACAGTGCATAGTATTATAGTTTGATATCATAGTGACCTCATTTGTTGTTATGCATGACAAATACTAATACATTATTTAATATGATACACTATCTTATCATGATACTCAATTTTCTCATTTAATTGTATGCCATCTCAGTAAAAATGTCTAGTTGATTTGCATGATATTACCTATAATACTCTTATTGTAACCAGTGTTAAACCTTCCTTGCCCACATTTGCTCCTCCATTGTGACACATTGCAAATGTTGTTGTCTCATGCGTGTTGATGCAAAGCTGCACCGTACCGTTCCAACCTAGCCAGTGCTTGTAACCGGTGCTCGGTGTTGCAGGGCCCAACCACACGTCGTCGCAAATGAGGCCCCACTAATGCAAGCCTCACGCTCCTCGTTGTTGATGCTTCATGCCCTTCGGTTCCTAGACACACCACACTATTGCAAAGGAGGCCCAGTGTTGCAAGGGCGCAAGGCCGAACCCCACTTGTCGGCAGCGCTCAACGCTGCATGGTCGATCCAGGAGCAATTGTGGGGTTGGTCATGAGGTTTTCGGGATCCACTGTGAAACTAAAACATGGAGCCCTTTAACACAAAAATCAACATATGTATATATGTGATATTCCAAAAAAAATTAATCAAGTGCTTACACCGACTCGTTCGAGGGATCGTTCTACAGCGACTCATCTTCTTCCACTGCATCTCGGAGTTGGTAACGATCTGACCGAAACCATTTTTGCATCTTCATAGTGTTCTTCGTTGATCGTAGGGCAAAACAAATTATTTTCTACTATTTTTCCCAACTGTATGTATTCCACTGTACCAGCCATTGTGGTAGCCCCTTTGCATGTATAAAAGGAGGTCCATTACTACGTAGAAAAGGGTGCCAACCTTCAGCATTTGAGCACATGGTACGTCTCCAACGTATTTATAATTTTTTATTGTTTTATGCTATTATATTATCATTTTTGTATGCTTTGTATGCCATTTTATATTATTTTTCTGGACTAATGTATTAATTTAGTGCCCAGCGTCAGTTCCTATTTTTTGCATGTTGTTTATTTTATAGAAAAACTATACCTACAGAAGTCCAAACATGATGAAATTTTATGATTATTTTTCTGGACAATAAGATACACTAGAAGTTCCAGGGAAGGACGAGAAGACCCACGAGGGCCCCACAAGCCAGGGTGGCGCGCCCCCTAACTTGTGGGCTCCACGTAGCTCCATTTCCCCTAATACTTGGTCTATAGATTCACATATATTCTGAAACCCTCGGAGCGAGACCCAAGACAATTCTTCCGCCGCCGCAAGCTTCCGTTTTTCGGCGATCCCATCTAGAGCCATGTTCCAGTACTCTGCCGGAGGGGGGAATCATTGGGGAGGCTATCTTCATCAACATTGTTACCTTCATGATGATGTGTGAGTAGTTCCTTCAGGACCTACGGGTCCATAGTAGTAGCTAGATGGCTCTCTCTCTCTCGATATTCAATATAATGATCTTCTCAGATCAATATAATGTAATTTTTTTGTGGTGTGTTTTTGGGGATCTGATGAATTGTGGGTTTATGATCATATTATTCATTGAAGCTATTTGAGTCTCTTGAGATTTATTTGCTGCGTAACTTTATAGCTTTGTATTTCTCTTTGATCTATCCGTCTACTTTGGCCAAGTTAGATTGATTTATCTTTAGCCGGAGAGGTTCTTTGTAGTAGGTTCAATCTTGGAGTGATCTTCTTGTTGGGTAACGTAGTAGAAAACAAAACAATTTGCACTTACACACACCCAAGATCAATATGAACATGCATAACGGGTTGTGATCACGATCGTTACCGTCACCGAGTTGCAGCGGAAAGAAGATTGTGTCAGTGTAGATCATACTTGGTGTCCCTCAAATCGTCGATGAATGATCCCACAAACAGTCCCTCGAACCGAAGACCGAAAGCACGACCTCTCTACTTGGTTGCAAGTGTGCAACCTTCATGATCCGGTAGCGCTTCGTCATCCAGAGCTAATCGTCACTAGAAGGGGGAGATTAGAACCACAGTATGCTTATAATTATGAGGATTATAGGATTAGTCTAGCTCTAATTAGTTAAAAAGGACTAACTAGAAGTAGAACTAGTCGTAGTACATAATTAATTTGCACTAGTGATTAAATTAAACTGATACATAATTGTGCTCCTACTCAGATCGATATCTCCCATAATTGATTTTAAGTGATTCAAGATCATGATCTCATTGACACCCATGGATGGTATCATCTCATATGATGTGAATTTCAATCTGTAGATCATATCACCATATGACTCTTGTTTATCTTTCGATGCTTCGTGCTCTGAGCCCGGAACTTTTCTGGTAGAACTTCAAGGCAACCGAGTGTTTCTATTGTGAATTCCTACCTCACCCGCCTTACACTTTACTTCTTGTTTGTACTCATGGTAGCATGTAGTACTCCGAAGGCCACATGTTATAGACGGTTGCAACACTGGGAAGGACACCTTTTAACTTGATATCTATTGTGAGAGATCACCCTAATAATGGACTAATGCGCAATCAAGGGGTGCAAACAACAAAGGAATAAACATCTCAGGCAATTCATAAAAGTATGATATGGTATAGCCCTGGGCGCCGGGAATACTTCATGATCATCTCCAATATTCAGTTGAAGCGTCGTGATGGCCAATATTTTGTTGTCGTGGCAACTATTTCAAAAACGCTATCGTGGCAGCAATTTCGAAAAACGTTGTCTTGGCGACCATTTCAGAAAACCTTGTCGTGGCACGAACTTATAGCTCCTTGTCCCGCACCTTAGTACACCTTCTCCACTTCGGGGTCCTCCATGTACGTTCGCCATCGTCACCTGTAACATGTAGGCTATCTCTATGATATTTACATTAATGTGGCAATCTCGTTGCTCCAGCCATCATGTTTTGACGTGCAAGCCACTTAACATTACAACATATAACCATCTCATACATAAACTCATTATCATGACGAAGGCTATACCACATCATATGCATACCCTACAAAACCAACTTAGATGTCCTCTAGTGGGTTTTAGCAAGTTTTAGTTATG